TTAGTTTTAGCTACAGTTCAGCAGTGGTGTCTCCAAGGGGCACCTCAGAAGTTGAGAAAGAAACCAAGTGGACACGAGCAGCAATATGGTCTCTGCTCTCACGCTAACTTCAAACAGGTCAGCTTGATTGGTATTTGTTGTATATATTGGGGTTTTGTGAAGAGTTTGATTTAGAAAGAAATAACCTGTAGTAAAGGAAGAGTAAATTTGAAAATTAGTGTTCAAGTTATTCTGCATAGACCTGTTATTTTGCTAAACCAGCTCCTACAAATAACTTCTTTATTTTATAACATTCCTACTAAATATCCTTATAAGTTACTATGACTGCATCTTACATCCACATCTGTTTACATAATGGGGAAATACTCTGAGGATAACTATGTTTCCTACTATTATTCAACATCTATGTTCTCACCATTCTAGTCAAGCCCCACCAGCCCCTCCACATTATTCCTCAGTATTGTTTCCAGGCCATTCCATATGCAGGCTTCTCCTCACTTCCTTTCTTTGCTTTGCCTATTCAAGTCTGATTTCTGCTTCATAGGTTGGCAGCTCAAGTTGTACCTCCTCCTTGAAAGCTTCATTTGTTCTAAGCCCACCTAATTTTACCCCTTTACCATCTTATGTTGAATTTAGAGTCAATACCCCTGAGTTAGGCAGCTAATTTCTCCTCTCACTGTTCCCCATATTTGTTTTCTTAGCTAGATTTTTTACCTGTTGATGGCAGAGATTTTATATTTTACAGTCTATCCCACTACAAGTGTTTATGTACCACGAAAAGCACAGTAGCAATTGGTAAAATATAAGAATGGTGTCAAAATAAAGTGGAAGTGCAGCTGGTTGGTTCATGGATGAATTTTCTTAACATTTTTAGTTTTGCAGTGATCAGGAGTGAGCTTTCTTACAATTAAGGAGAAGCATTAGCACTATATGAAGACTTTAAGGAAAAGAGAAGAATTCTGCATAAAGACTGCCTCTTTAGTGTGATTGGTTTAGTGGCTTCAAAAATTCTAAATTTTCCACAACATTAGATTATCTGATAAAGCTATGAGTATTGATAATGAAGCTGTCAAGACTTTTCACTACATGGTTTTGAAAAGGTGGGTCCTCCTCAGTTAGATTGTTATCTGCTGGACATCTGGTTTGGTGTTGGCCATATAATACATGCTTAATAAATATTTGTTTATTCTTAGGCAACATTTAATTTATAAATATTTTTCCATGACCCTGCCTGCTGGGAGATCCACTGCTACACTTCAGAGTCTAGTTGTCTGCCTGCCTGTTGCCTTCTCAACCCCTTCTGTTTCACCTTCCTGTCCAAATTTGTCTTGGCGACTACGCATACCTACTTAGCTTTCTAGTTCTGCCTAATCATATTTATCTAATCCATATTTCCTTTAATTTCTCTATTAATGACCCAGATTATTTACATAAGAACATGCAACAGAAAGGAGACACCAAAATCCAGAGGAAAACTGTAAGGATCATCAGAAACCTCGGGGGTAATGAATGGATGGGTCTAAGGACAATGTCAAGAAGACTAGATCCTAGCAGCCTTTTTGTCTTTCTTTTTCTCCCAGGGCTAGTTTTTTAGCATTGACTTTATGCTAAACTTGTGAGATGCCAGAGGGAAAGACCAAAAAGTCAGTGCCTCTAATGTACATGTTTGATATGCAAACCGATAGTGGTAACATCCTCCTTTCTTCCGCATCATCGAGAAAAATTGTCTCTCTATCCACCAGGTTACTTGTGTGTCCCAGAAAGGTAAAAATGAAGAAATGCAGGTGAAGTCAGATTAGCCTAGGGACTACACTTGGTGAGATGCCTGGTTCATAATCAGTGGACAAGGTGTCCTTGAGGGAGAGCAGTGGCTCCTTTGTGTGTTAACTTCTAAGAGAGGCCAGTGACTATGATGCCTGAAGGAAGGGTATTTGTAATTACTGTTTATACTACCTGGAGCAAAATGCTGAAAAACAAACATTAAGAATTAACATGGGGCTGAGATAACCACAATAAAGTCAAATGTAAGCCATATCAGGAACAGAATTTTTCACTATTTTCAGTAAAGATTATGAGTCTTTACAGGTACCTCTAACTTGATTGTAAATGTAGCCTCACCTGGCCTGAGGATAGTGAAACCCAATCTTACCTTCAAAATAATGTCAATCCATTTTTAAGTCTATTTACACCCTCCAAACAGAAGTATTTGTACTATCAATACAATGCCTTCCCTCCTTTTAAAATCACGCCAATGAGACCTACAGGTAGGAACTTCATGATCTGGAAGCTTCTTGTGTTCTGCTTCTTTTCTTGCTAACAGCAGCCCCCATCTTATGTCCCCAATTTCTTAACCATAAGGTCTCTGTGCATGCTATCATTATTTCTTTTGCCTGGAATGTTCTCCATCCACCTTCTTTGCTCCATAATTGCTCAATACATTTTTGCTGAATATCCTTCCCAATACCCAGAAAGTTCCATAAGAGCAAACAACATCTGTCTTGTTCACCAATGTACCCACAAAACCTAGCACAGTATCTAACACTCAGGCTGTCAAGAAACTTAATGGATTTACACCTTTAAGACTCAGTTCTTTGGGAAGGTGTTCCAGAGCCTCTGACATCCCGGTGCGTAGCTCCCTCATCTGCTTGTGGGCTTCCTGTTCATATATGCTGTATTGAGGTGTGAAGTATGTGAGGTTCTAAAATGGCAAAAGTGAGGTCGCTTCATGTTTCTAACCTACCACACTCAGTAAATCACCTGGTATACACTAAGGAGCTCAATGAAAGTCTACTGAGTAGATAACTGAGCAAAATTTGAGCTTAGAAAACCCTCAGCAATGGCTTACACACCTACATCTCTCAAACGGGAATTATATGAAAGCATTGGACAAACAACTCACATTTTTCTGCAGTAACCACTTTCCATGAAACTTTTCAGGAGGGGTGACAATTAAGTAATTTAAATCATGTGTGTGCATGTACACTCATGTAGTAAGTTGAATTCAAAATGTACATCAGAATTTAAGTCAAAGAAAAACTTGAACAAAACAAATTTACCTCAGGGTTCCTTTTCTACCCTCTCTGGAAGCACCTATTCCCTCTTTTCTGCTGTCTCTAGGTAGTTTACCTCCTGCATTATTACAAAGACAGTTAATGACACAGCCTGTATTAAAGCTGTTTGGGTATCTTTTCACCCCTTTGTCCAAGTTAATTGCCTCAGCATGCCTACAGCATAGTCAAACTTATTCCAACACACTTAGTAAATATGTTTGTAAACAAAGTAGATTCAACAAAGCTCAATTTAGGTTGGAGGGGAGAAGGGCAAAAGGAGTCATAGCCTGAAGATATTGGGTTGGCCAAAAAGCCCGTTACGTTTTTTTTTTCTGTAAAATAGAAAACACATTTTTCATTTTCACCAATAACTATTAATTTGGATATTTTGAGTATGTTGCCTATCTCCTGCTATTGGCTTCTAGTGGGTCGAAGCCAGGGGTGCTACAAAACATCTTGCAATGCATAAGATAGCCCACAGCAAAGCATTATTTGGCTAAAATATTAAGAGTACCAAGAAACTTGGAAAACCACTTCTGATATGTTTGATCAGTCACAGCACCTTCTCCATACACTGCACAAGTCTTTTTTTTGCATTTCAGTTGTATTTTTATCTTTCTTGAAATAAAGTATAATATGCTGAAAACATGTTATTTTCTTCCATCTTCAATATTAATATGGCTGCACAAAAATTCACCAGTTTTGATAAGCTTTTTAAAAAATACATGCTGGTAGGACAGCTGTCACAATATGATCGAACAAAATTGTTTCAAATGAAGTTAAAGACACTAAGCACTACTACGGCCATCATAGGGAAAAATGTAATGGGCTTTTTTGCCATCCCAATATCTGAGTAACAGGCACATGGACCTGCTTAGAGATTTGGTAATTTGAACTTACATTTCACGTATCTTCCCTTGCATATGTGCTCTTATTCTGATGGTAGATCATTCACTCCTTGTCTTGTCCCTTAAAACATTATTTTTAAAAGGCTCTGTTTAAAAAGGATGGAAGAAATATTGTGTGGGCCTCTTCCTGACAACTCAAGATTTAAAGACTCACAATACCTGCTTTGCCCTGCTGCTGCTGCACAAAACACCTAACATTGTCTACTGATTTACGTTTTAAAGGAAGCTTTGACACACGTGATCTTTTTCACTCCCCACAACAACCCTAAAGCAGACAACTGTACTTGAACAACAACAACAACAACAACAACAACAACAAAAGTTGCTTGGAACGGAGACTAGCACTCAATCCAATTTCTAACTCTCTACAGGTGCTGTGGTTAAAAAGCCTTATAACCCCCTCAGGGATTAAGTGGTGGGTGCCTGCTCCTTCTACTACCGAACGGCATGCGAATAAAAGAAGACTATTTCTTTGGCCGCAATTCAATCATTGCAATAGAAAGCACCCACGCTTTCCACTTTGACCCATACAATCTGTCTAGCCAATTAATCAGTGCTCCCTGAGGTGGTTTTCCTGTGGGATGCCAATCAACCCCTCCCACACAGCGTAGCAGGACCACACCCGGAGCCAGGCCTTTGCCAGAGAAGGTGCTCGGGCCTACACTAGTTAAAGGGTATAGTCAGATAGACCCTCCAGTGAAACTTACACGTGAATCCTCCTGGGCCTCAGTTTCTCCATCTCTAAAATGGGCTACACCTCCTCTCTCTGGACTAGTTCCCTCCCATTTTACCAAAGGCCCCTCGGAAGTGAAATCAGTGCTTAACCACAGCTTAAACTCAGCTCGCTGGGCTCTAGTCGCTGGGCCGGGCATGCTCAGTAGCTGAGGCCGGTTCTGCAAAAGAGTAGGAAGCAGTTCTACGCGCTGGGCGGCTGACTGCGGGCACTTTGATGAATCACGTGTGCTGAGGCCCTCTTAAAGAGATAGACACCCACTTTCTCCACCCTAAACGCCGCCCTGAGGGAGGCGGCAGTAGTGGTAATTGCAGCTGCTCAAGGGCAGGGCTTGCCCTAGCGCCGAGTAGTGGCAACGGTGTGTGGCTTCTGGGGTTCTTGGAAGCCCGGTCCCAGCGGCCTAAAACCGGCAGCTCCCCAGGCAGACACACTCTTTCCCAGGAAGTAGTACTCCCGAGTCAGCGCGCGGCAGCGAGACCGCCTGGAGGGGCTTCCTTAGTGGAGGAAAGGTGGGGTTACAGGGCACAGGTGACAGGGCCGGAGAAAGATGGAGCAGCCCGGCGCGGCAGCGTCGGGAGCGGGAGGCAGCAGCGAGGAACCTGGTGGGGGCCGAAGCACCAAGAGGAGCACGGGGAACCGGGCCGCCAACGAAGAGGAAACGAAAAACAAACCCAAATTGGTGAGTGCTCCCGCAGCCCCCGCCGGCCTTGGGGATAGCGAGAGCCCCGGGATCCTCCTGCCGTTGAACGCGGGGGCACCCGGGGCCCCCTCCCAAGAGTGACCGCGACCTCGCTGTGCAACCTGGAGAGCCGCTAAAGGAGCGGTTACGCTGAGGCGCGGAGACGGCGTGGGGGCGGAAGAGCACCCCCTTCTCCACTTAATCCCTTTCTTACTCTTGTCAGCGCTTTGAAGGCAGTGCGGGAAGGAGAAAGGCCCCAACTTAGGGAGACCCCGAGTACTGGGCAGGGTCTGTTGTTTGTCTAACTTGTGGGCGAGAAGCTTCTTTGCGTGATTCCGTTCCCCTCCCATCCCTGTCAGATGCTGGCTTTTGGTTCTTGAACGCTTTTAGGGTCTGGGCACGGGAAGCGCTCTTCCTTGCATCCAAATGCTTGGGAGCCCACCCACAGACTTACAAAAAAAAAATCCTGTGAACAAAAAAACACAAAACCTAGGCTCCCATTCTTTTTACTTTACCAGAAAATCTAAGGAAGAGGCCCCTACGTGCCTCCGCCGCCCCCCGCCCCCCGCACGCCCGCCTCTCCATGTGCTCTCCCCAAAAACATTTCTTTGTAAGAGTGGGGGGAGCATGGGAGTTGGAGGCTGGGTGAAATACCACCAACTGTCCTTTATGAATAGACAGAGGAACACAGCACTTCTACTTAGTTGGTTAAGAACTCTCAAAAGCACTAGGCTGACTCCACAAGTCTCACCGTCCTGAGAGTGTGTGAACCAGTGGTAGCAGTTCATTTCCTGCCACTGACTTCATGTGCAGAGGAATGAAATCTATGGGGCCCACTCTTAGATTGGGAAATACTGGAGTTTCCTCTACTCATCAGTTAAAAGGGTTCCTCTTTTTTGCTGAACTTTTTAATTCGGGTGGCATGCGGGGAAATGGTTTGCCTGCACAAATTGAGCAAATACTCCTGTATGAACGTTGTTAGCCTAGCTCTGAAGCACAAGTCAGATGTTGCCTATCTAGTTTGCAGTTTTAACCAGCAACTTGTTCATAATTAGGAAGGACAGAGTGACTTAACTAGAGCCAGTTCTTATGGCCATTTGGTATGTACCTGTTTTACTTCCTCGATGCCTACTATTGGCCTTTCACATTGGGAAACAGTGGTCAACGCATTAGAGTATCAGGAAATATATAACCTTCCATTCCATTATGTGGGAAGGGACCTGGTTGGGTAGAATAAAATGGTAAGTTTAAAGTCTCATCAATTCCACCTAACTTGAAGCAAATTGAGAATTTACTTACTTGATGTATCCCATTACCCCAGTAATTACAGGTGAAGAAACTGAGCCACAAGGTCTTTGTGAATTGTCTAAGCTGGGTTTAATGGGTGCCCTCACTATAATGAAAGTGAGAAAAGTTTTGTGAGTGTATCACCAAATTTTAATGTATTTAAGGATTCTCATGTTGTGATTTTGAAGTTTATCCATTTGTGGTAAAACAGTGGTCATATCACCTTTTATTTTTGACCCAGCACAAAAACTGTGGTTTAAACAGTGATTAAAAGTTTAAGCAAACATAAATGTGAATTGAGAGTTTCCACAAGTAGTTTAGTACAACCAGCAAGAATCTTTCACTTTTAGGAAGTATGCCAGAGAAAATGCTTATCTCTGCCTGCTAGTAAATAACACCTTGATTATATTCTTCTCTTTCTTTTGGCCATTTGTTCTGTTTCATCTTTTATGTTTTCCTTGCTTTGACAAGGTAACTAGATAGTTATGAGGTGGAATCAGTTTCAATTCCTAGCTGACACTGTTTTGGTGTTGAATATAGCTTCATGTAGTATAACAAGTATTCAAATCCAAGAGTTTAATATCAGTGGAAACTTCTCTCTTTTTGCTCATATATAACTTTTCAGCCTTACATGATTCTACAAGCAGAGGTGTCAGTTATAAATACAAATTTAGAAGGATATTTCAGCACTTTTTAAGGCAACCAAATTGAACAAACAACAAGACTTGGTAAACTACTACATGTTATAAATGCCTTTACTCCTTAATTTCAGTTGTCTTATTAAACTGCTCAATAGTTTCTTCTAAGACACAGGGTGGCAAACACAAGGCCCACGGGCTGAATCCAGTCCTCCACCTTATTTTATCCAGCCAAGCATCTTGTTTCTACCCAGCAGCAGTGCTGAGCTCCTTGCCCCTAGTTGAGTAGTTATATTTATACAGTCCTAAAATTACATTCGGCCCTTTGAAGGCAACCTGAGGCTGATGTGGCCCCCCGTGAAAATGAATTTGACACCTCTGTTCTAAGGCCTTTTAGAGAACAGTTCACCTGGGATTCTTAAAATACTGCTAGTAAGATAAAGCTTTACCTAGACTAAGTTTTATTACTTTGGGTATTATGCTACAATTAGTGTAATAGTCCTTAATTATGTGCATGTGTGTGTGCATGCACATGTGGGATTATAAAAGCCATATGGTAATAGAAATTATTTGTGTCGGTGATTGTGGGGGAGAGCAGTTCTTTAATTCTTGAAATTGTATGAAAGAATGTGAATGTATGTAGGTACCTGCATTTTTCTGGGCCTCATAGCTTTCATCAGTTTCTCAAAGGCATGTGTCACCTATAGAAGAACAAGAGCTATTGGGTTATGAAAGAGAGAGGGAGAGTACAGGAAAGGCCAGTTGATTCCACTTAAAGTTACTGGGGAGAGGAGGTCAGTGATGGAATATCAAAATAGCACAGACCACAGGAGTGATTGATATTGAAGATAATTCACCTGGTAAAAAGAAGTTAATTACACAATGTCAGTATAGTATTAGCCAATGTGAAAGTCTCCACTCTGTAGAGAAATGAACTTAATAGCTACCATATAGTAGATTCATAAGACTTGTGATTCATTTGTTACTCATTGTTCTGGAAAACGGGAGGATGAAGGCATGGTTTCTTTTTCTATGGACAACTGTCCTTTCATTTATGTCCCTAGCTTCTGATAGCTATTAGTGAGAATTTTTTTTTTCAGAGAGATGTTTCAGGACTTTAATGACTTCTGTTTAAGATTAATTCAGTCAAAATGTAACAAAATTTACTTCAGTCTTCTTGATCCATGCCTCCTCATAATGATCTTTTTATTTTGATTCTCTTTAAGGAAGGCAACCTTGTTTGGGACTCCTCATCACATTGCCCAGATTGTAGCATCTCATCAAACAGTATGATTCTTAATTAGTAATTTGAGGTCAACCATGGAATGTATTTTCTTAAGTAGTACAGAGAGCTCTAGCAGTGTTATGATGGAATCTCTCATGTTTAAGGCAGTGACTTAACCATTAAGAGAGGCTAGTGTTAAGGTAGAATGAACACCTTTCACACACACAGAATGGTGTAGAATGGGTGTAGAATGGCTTAACATTCTCTGGTGCTTTTGTCTTTTGACTTTCTGTTTCTATATAATTCCTGAAGCCTTTAATTAGTAACTTGAAGTAACAGAAGTTAAGTTATCTTTGTGGTTATTATATAATTCCTGACAATTTGGTTATTTTTATTGGATAAATCATGTTTCATTTTAATTGATAAACACCAAGTTTTATGATTTCATTTATGTAACATTTACTGAGCATATCCTATATGCTTTAGATATTATTCTGAGGGTTGGTGATAATTGGGTTGGCCAAAAAGTCCATTATGTTTTTTCCCAACGATGGCTCTGAAAGTGCTTAGTTGTCTCTAACTTCATTCAAAACTATTTTTGTCAGATTGTATTGTGACAGCTGTCATCAGTGTGTGTTTAAAAAAAGCTTATCAAAATTGGTGAATTTTTGTGTAGCCATTTTAATATTGAAGATGGAAGAAGATATACATTTTCAGCATATTATGCTTTATTATTTCAAGAAAGGTAAAAACACAACTGAAACACACACACACACACACACACACAAAGATTTGTGCAGTGTATGGAGAAGGTGCTGTGGCTGATCAGACTTTTTACAAGTGGTTTTCCAAGGCTCTTGGTCCTATTGACATTTTGACCAAATAATTCTTTGCTGTGGGGCTGTCTTAGGCTTTGGAAAATGTTTAGCAGCACCCCTGGCCTCCATCCACCACTAGAAGCCAATAGTGGGAGACAGCTGACATAGTCAAAATATTCAAATCAGTAAGGTTATTGGTGAAAGTAAAAAATGTGTCTTTTATTTTACAGAAAAAAGCATGCCAGGCTTTTTGGCTAACTCAATACCATATATGGTTGGTTATATATTTATTGATTCCTTATTCTCTCCCCAATTCCATTTGTCTGTTTAGAGGATTATACATTCTTTTCTTTTACTAATAATTCTTTCCATTGAATGAATATAAGATGTGAGTTTAACATTTTTGTCCCTGTACTTTTTTTTAAAGATCCATGCTACCATTTTCTTTGAATTTGAAGCATTTAACATTTTTGTGAAAAAAACTTTCATTAGATATTTATGACATTTGTCTTGTCAGGCAGCATGCTGCTGTTGTACAAATAAGGAAATCGAGTCATTGATGTGTTAAGAGGTCTCTTCTAGAGATAAGTTTAAAAGCTAGCACTTTTATTGTCAAAAAGTTAGCTATAATGCTGTGTCATTATGCTTCAGGGATTCTGAAAGTGAAAAATTATTCAGTCTTTTCTTTTGTACCTTTTTGGAACAATTGTAATTGTTATCCACCTAGCTTTCACTCCAAGTACCAAGAGCTCTGACAGTAGCAACGTGTCATTGACATGAAATCATATTCTTTTCCCACCTGATCTCTAAGAACACTGTAAATAACAGGATGCTCTGAAAATAGTACATACATAATATATGCCAATTTACATGAATCAGCACATTTGCCTAAATATTACTGGATATTACTAGCACCGTAGTGATTGTTATTGAAGACCAAACGTTCTCGTATTCCTGTATTCAGTTTGCCATGCAGAAGGGACTAGTTCCTTCTGTTAGATTTTGGCTGTTTTAATACTTTGTCTTAAGCCT